GGAGGGAGGCAAGCGGCAGGGCCGGAGCTGCTGGGGTGATTTCAGAGCACCTGCAGGGGTGGGCTGCCTCCAGGGTGGAAATGTGCTCATCTTGCAGCTGAGAAAGGTTGAGGGGTTGGTCGCGTGTCTGGGAAGCCAGCCCTGCCTGCAGAAGTAACCACACAATCCTGCTCTGAGGCAGCATTTGGGAAACAGCCTCAAAGGGTTAATGCAGAGCCCCCTTGCCCCCAGCTAGCACCTGGGCCTTCCCCCAAGAATGTGCCTGTACCTTTCTAGGTAAGGGTCACTCACCTGATTCTGAGTCAGAGAGCATTCCTGCCATTGTCAGTAGGCCATTGAAGAGGAACTTGGGCTTGCTGGAAAGTTTATCAGCTCAGGAGGTGACGACTCATTCTTGCCTTTGTTCCCAGGCTCCGGGGGCCCCTCCGACCCAAGTTGTGTGTAGGAAGAACCCCTACCCATATTCCCCCTTAATGGGGTCAAAATATGAACTCAAATCTTTAACAGATACAGATGAGCCACGGCTGAAATGCAGTGATCTGGGTTCAGGCTATCCACTTTGTAAAACCAGTTCCACTGTCTCTTTCCAACTCATTAACTTCTATGTAACGTTCTCTTTTCTCCATTATAACTTATAAATGACTGGGGAGGGCTAACAGTTTTGAAGATTAACAATGTGATTAAATCTGAGCCCTGGACCAAGCACAAATTGAAAGTGTTTTGTTCAGGAAGCTCATGACTAGGCATTATCTACACCCAAGTGGAACCAGGAGCAGATAGAGCCTGGTGAGTCTGCCCTCCCCAGCACGCACACCCTGGGAGGTTCCCCCGGGCCAGGGCAGGTCAGAACCCTGTCCCCTCTGTGGGTCAGGCATGTCCTCTGCTCCCATGTTCCCCCCCGACTGTGGTGGTTGGAGGGATACCTGGTAGAGACCAGGGTCTTGGTGAGCAAAGTGGGGAGTGGTGGGAGAGATGACCATGGCTGAAAGGCTGTCCCCTCCGTGAATCCAGGGTCCTTACATGTGGCCGTACCTGGCAGAGTACCTGGCAGGACCTTCTACCACATCCCAAGCACCCCCATCAACGTACCAGCGTGACACAAGCCAGAAGGATACTAACAGCCCCCAATTGCTAATGTCTTCTGGTTTATCCACTTTGGTTGCTGAAATCAAACATATTCTCCATTCAGTTTAAGGTTATTTTCTAAAGATAGTTTTTAAAAAGCTTTAGCAACCTAAATGTCCATCAACAGAGAAATGGATAAAGAAAATGTGGTACATATATACAATGGAATAGTCAGTTCAGTTCAGTCACTCTGTTGTGTCCGACTCATTGTGACCCCATGGACTGCAGCATGCCAGACTTCCCTGTCCATCACCAATTCCTGGAGTTTGCTCAAACTCATATCCATTGAGTCAGTGATGCCATCCAACCATCTCATCCTCTGTTGTCCCCTTCTTCTCCTGTCTTCAGTCTTTCCCAGCATCAGGGTCTTTTCCAATGAGTCAGTTCTTTGCCTCATGTGGCCAAAGTATTGGAGTCTCAGCTTCAGCGTCAGTCCTTCCAATGAATATTCAGGGTTGATTTTCTTTAGGATTGATTGGTTTGATCTCCTTGCAGTCCAAGGGACTCTCAAGAGTCTTCTCCAACACCACAGTTCATAAGTATAAGTTCTTCAGCGTTGAGCGTTCTTTATGGTCCAATTCTCACATCCACACATGACTACTGGAAAAAACCACAGTTTTGACTAGACGGACCTTTGTCAATTAAGTAATGGAATCTTACTCTGCCATTAAAGCTAAAATAATGCCATTTGCAGCAACATGGAAGGATCTAGAGATAGTCATACTAAGTGAAGTCTGTCAGAGAAGGAGAAATATGGTTTGACATCCCTTATGTGTGGAATCTAAAAAGAAATGATACAAATGAACTTACAAAGCAGAAGCAGACTCAAAGAGAAGGAACTTACCATTGCCCTGGGAAAGAGAGGAGGAAGGGATGGATGGAGAGTTTGGGATGGACATGTGCACGCTGCTATATTTTAAGCGGATAACCAACAAGGACCTGTATTTTACAAGGAACTCTGCTCACTGTTATGTGGCAGCCTGGATGGGAGGGGAGTTTGGGGGAGACAGGGTGCATGTATATGTATGACTCGGTCTGCTATTCACCTGAAACTATCACATTGTTTGTTAATTGGCTACACCCTAATGAAAAATAAAAAGTTAAAAAAAAACTAGCTGGAACCAACTAGGTCCAAGATGGAAAAAAAAATAAGCTTTAAACTACCACCTCCACCTACCCACCATCACTACCACCAACAACAATGAAATAAACTAACAAAAATAATTAAAAGCTTTAAGCTTCTGTACTTCATCAACTCACTGAATGGGAAGGTTGGTCACTGTAATAAAGCCCCGTGTTGGGGACCACAGGCTGCTGACCCCTGGCTGTCCCGGGAACCTGCTTCCCTGGGAAGCATCACCTCCCAGCTGCATGGCATAGCGTCCTATGAATGGGGAGGATCTGAAGTTTCCAGTCACTCTCCTCCCCTCCTCTCCCAGCACCTCCTGCTCACCCAGAGGTTGGACCAGAGCTACTAAAAACAGGCACCAGAGTAAAAGGTTTCAGATTATGTCTACCCCATGAAGTATCGACCGTCTGCTCTTGGGTTAGCTACATGGGATGCTTGCTTTTCAAACTCTGTATTACCTCATTCCTGGCTTCATTAAACAGAGCATCATGAACGCACATCAGTTTCCCTGGTGGCTTAGACCATAAAGAATCTGCCTGCAGTGCCTGAGACCTGGGTTTGATCCCTGGGTCGGGAAGATCCCCTGGAGAGGGGAATGACTACACATTCCGGTATTCTTGCCTGGAGAATCCCATGGACAGAGGTGGGCTGCAGTCCATAGTGTGTGTGTAGGGGGTGGTCACAAGCTGTCGGACACAACTGAGAGACGAGCACTGTCACTTAACAACTCAGGGTCACTGCTGGAACCTCCGAGTTGGTGCAGAGTCACGAAGCCCTGGTTCCCTTGAAGCACTGTGCCCTGGCCATCGCTTTCTGTTACAGCTCAGCAGCTTCTGCCTGGCCTCACTCCAGGCAGCAGGCAGCCAGCCTGGGTGTCTTCCCCACCCCATCCCTGGCAGGCACCCCCCTCTCCGGAGCTGACTCCCTGGTCCAGTATCGCCAGTCCCCAGGCTGCGATTGACTTGGCTGTCTAAGCCGGGAAGCCAAGTGCCATCCTTGTTAGAAAGGAGCATCAGACAGAAGAGACAGGCTTGAGAGGGGTGGGGGGTGAATCCTCTGGGTGTGGAGCCTCCAGGCAGGGGTTCTGACCCCTAGTGGGTCACTAATCCATGGGCCATCGGTCACTGACCCACTCTTAAGGCAGTTAAGCTTGCATGGCAAGAAAAACATACTGGTTTCTTTTTGTTTTATTTTTCTCCCTCACACCTCGCAAGTCAAGTTTCTTGAAATGAAGCCTGAAACTGTGACTTTTCCTTTAGGAGAGGAGACAGAATGCTGACTACTCAGCTGATAGTCACGGCTTTCATCTGCTCTGAAAATAGAATTTCAAATGAATGTTCTTCTTATGACAGAATTTTTGCAACGACAGTAAAAAGCAAAAATGAATAAACCCCAGTCATCCATCAAATGACTTTTTGTTCCATTTTTTAAAGAAAAACAGAAACTATGTGCTCTGGGGAAGCATCAAGAATCAGTTTGGGTTTAATGTTTTCACATCCAAAAATCTCAATTCAACTGTAAAGGAAACAGTTTGAATGATTCTGACCCATCAGGGCATCCTCTTAACACAACATTCACAGCACAGTGCTTGAGTTTGGAAATACTGAGAGGGTCAGTGCAAAAAAAAAAAATTAGAAATTATTTTTCACCTATTTTAAGGCATAGTTTGACAGCCACGGGATCTCTGTGGCCACTTTGCTTTTAAGTGGTATCTGAGTGTTACTCCAAAAATGTCACCCTTCATAATTAACCTCTTGCACAGCAAACTGGCTTTCTAGCACAAACACTTTCTAGAGCAAGTGTTGTTTGCATTTGCACAGAGATCACTTTCCAGGAGGTCAGTGTCAGTGAATGGAGATGCTGCTCAGAACTCAGAAGCAGATCTGAGTCTTTGGTTGGTGCTGAGGGCTTCCCAGGGAGACCAGACAGTCTGGGTCCCTTCTCTGATGTTCCTGAAAAGCAGGTTTCAGTCCTTCATGGAGACTCACTGAAGTCACACAGAGATTCTTGAACTTTCGGTTCCCACCAAGATCCCGTCACCCAAACAGAATCTGCCTCCCAATCCCGTCCCGCCAGAAAAGAGCTGGACTGAGTGCAGCTACCACGTCCCCGGCCAAGGGCCTGCTGTGCACGTGCCACAGACCAGAGAGGTGGGGGTGCAAAAATGTGTCCCCGAGTGCCAGGGGGAGGTCGCCGCCATCACGATGTACGAAATGATGCTCCGCTAGCTGTTAGGAGGTGTGAAGACAGGCTCGGGGTGGGCGTGCTGGGGGAGGGGGAGACAGGTGGAGGACCCATCGAGGACCTTGTCGGAACGCAGGTTCTGAATCAGGAGGGCCGGGGCCTAGGAGTCTGCGTTTCTCACAGGTTCCGGGAGATGCTGCTGGTCCACGGAGCACACGCTGAGTAGCGAGCAAGGTGTAAAGTTCTGCTCCTCTTGGTTTGTGACAGCCGGGTTTTCCTTCCTCTGTCCTCTTGGTGTGAATTGGGATCTGCAGGGTCCAGAAAGGGCACAGTGTCATCTGAATTCTGACTCTGAGCTGTGGGGACTCTACGCATGGGTTTACTTATTTTGACTGTGCGTGTTTCCAGACACACGTTTGCCTGACCCAGGTTCCAGCTCCTGGGAAATCGGTGTTTTTCGCGTTGCCTCTTCCTCTGTGACTCGGCCGGCACCCGCACGGGCCTCCTGGGCTGACTGCTGGGCCCTGTGTCACTCCAGGTGTGACCCTGACGAGCAGCCACGATGGGGAAGACACTGGATCTTTCCAAGCTCACGGATGAAGAGGCGAAGCATGTCTGGGAGGTGGTTCAACGGGACTTCGACCTTCGAAGGAAAGAAGAGGAAAGGCTAGAGTAAGTGTGCGTGGTGGGACCCTTGCAGCATGGCCCTAGTATCTCTGGAGGGGCCGGCCCCTTGGGGGTCTCTGGGTGGGCAGATGGCAGTAACTTGGTGGAGGACACTGGATGAAAGTCACATGCTTTCTGACCTCAGTTACCCCTTAATTAAAACAAGGAGCTCTGACTTCCTTCCTGATGGTCAGACATTCCCCGAATAGTTTTATTTCAACTTGATCCAGCGCCAGGGTGACAGTCTCTCCTAATGCTAAGACCACAGCCTTGCACGAATAAAGGTGATGAAGAGGGAAAGTCTCGATGCTGATCTGCAACACCCAGAAGCCGGGATCAAGGGCTTTCAGAACAAAGGTGGAATTTCACCTCTTCCCAGCAGAGTGGGGGCACCCCATCCTCACTGTGGAGGCCCCAGAGCCATCTTGCAGGGCTCTCTGTGGGCTGAGCTAAAGCCCCTTTGGCGTTATTTGTTCTTCTGCTTTGCATCTTCCTCTGCCAAACCTCCAAGGCTTAGCTGTCTCCTGGGCTCCCTTGTTGCCTCGGGGTATTTTGTGGGTTGGCAGGCCTATTGCAAAGGAGACGTTAAGTGAAGACTCAAGGCGGGTAGGAAGTGGCCAAGAGAAAGGCCTGAAAGTCTCCTGGCGGTGGAGGGCAGAGAGGAGGTCAGAGCTGGGGTGGGGTGCAGGCAATCATGGGGCCAAAGACCCAAGCAGGACGTGAACTGGCTGTTCTCTGCGTGGCGGCAGGCCTTTAGGCAAGGGAGTAGCAAGACCCAGATTCTGCTCTGCCGCCGGCAGGCTCCTGAGAAGCAGTTGGGGGAGCCAGCAAGTTTGCCTAAGGGCTGGTCGTGGGGTCATGATTTTAGGGGAGTGGGTGTGGAGGTCACGGCGTACTCCAGAGTCAGGACCTGAGTAACTGTGGGTGTGGAGGGGTCCCCACCTCACCGGGGAAGCTGAGGGCAGAGCAGGTGCGGAGGGAACCAGGACACAGATCTGTGGACCCTGGGCGGCCCGTTAGACACGAGGGGGCAGGGCGGCCCCACACACACTGGCCGGGAGCCCAGCGAGACAGGCCTGTGGGAGTGTCCACCTGCAGAGGCCGCCGCTGCTGTAATCACGCCAAACCCTGCGGCCTAAAGCAAGCACACAACTCTCTCCTGGGCCTGGAGCTCGGGAGTCAAGGTGTTGACAAGCTGCCAAGTGAAGCAAGTTCAGAGAAGCCCAGCACCCCCTGGTGATGGCGGGGAGGGGTCCAGAACAGCACCAGGGGACTTCTTGCTGCCTCTCTGCAGCTGTCCTCCCCTCTGCCTGTCCTGGGCTGCAGGACACCCCCTGGGTTTTCATTACGAAGCAGCTTTCACCCCGCTGGTGTTGGAGCCCTGACTCCCATCAGTTGCCGTGACCCCAGGACCAGGGCCCAGAGCCGGCCTTGGGCGTCATCCCGGTGCTGGCTGGGGCAGGCGCCCACCTTGCCTCCTGTCTCCTCTCTTTGCCTCAACCTGGAGGCTGTGCCTGGGCCAGGGCCACAAGCTCTTAGTGACAGAGGCCACCTGGTCTTTCCTGTCTGGGGATCGCAGCCCCTCCAGGCAGCCCAGCTGCTGTCAGTCTTGTTTTTTAATGGCAGCTCAGACCCTCCCATTCCATGCCTTTATAGAAGCACAGATTGATCGGGGGGAGGGGATCACAGCTCTTCAGGGAGAACTTTGAGGGCGTCAGCCCCTCCCTGTGTCCAGGCAGAGCCCAGGTAGTTTTGTACAAATTCCTGTTTCTTGCCTACAGGGAGCACCACACCCTTCTGACCCTCCTCACCCTTACTTTCCATATTTCTTGTAGTTATTTCATGTTGCAAAGAGGAGACTGCCCCCCGTAGCCTGCAGCTACTGCTGGAAAGGAAGTCTCCAAAGGATCCCACTGGTGACACACGCTCTCCTGGGGGGCCCTTGGATCAGGTCAGGTCCCTGGTCAGTCAGTTAAGGTCAGGGTGACAGCCTCGTTCAGAAGTCCCCGAAGCCTTCTGCTCAGGAGTTAGTGTCTTCTCGGCCAGACATGTGACGATTAGGGGTGAGCTTGTTAGATACGACAGCGCAGGACGTGGTCCCTGGGAGTGTCCGCGTGCGGAGAGGCGGTGGTTGGGAGAATCCATGCCAGGGTCAGGGCGAGGATGCTGGCGCCCCGGACGTGCTCCTGTGTTAGCGCCTCCTGTGTGCACCGCCGCCGGTGATACGTTTGGAAGAGCTAAGCCACGGGGCTGAGTGAAAGGCGCCTGTGGAAACACCGAGGTGCTCGTCTCTTGCCAGATGTCCTTGGTTATCCGAGCAGCAAGAGCTGAAGCCGCCTCTGCCTGTGACAAGCCTTTTCCCCATGTCCCCCTGACCCCCGGGAGCAGGACTCAGGCATGTGGTCGTGCGGCTCCATGAGGCCAGAGCCCATGGGCTCACGTTCCACTCCAGCGGGGCTGAGACTTAGGAAAGGCACAGCTCAGAATGAAGACTGGTGTTTGGACAGTGACGTTGGTTCTGCAGAGTGCATTGGCTAAAATACCAGCAGTCTGTTATGAAACTGAAGACGGTTTAAAAACCATAAACCTCCTTCTTCCTGGCCTCGTCTCAACGTTAATCTCTGCATTTAACCAATTTCAATGTTAACCATCCATCTCCTGCAACCACACTATCCCAGTCTCTGTAGCACACTGGGGTTTCTGCACGGTCCCTTGGGGTCCTCAAAGATGCTCCCAGTTCTTGGGTCTCTAATCTCTGAATCAACAGCAGCCTGAGAGGGACTGGCCCTCAGCTGAGCACTGAGTGGGTGCCTGTAACAAACTCAGCAGCTCAGGGGTTGCTCGGATGAGCAGGGTTTTTTTTAATTGTTACTGAAATATAGTTGACTTACTAGGCTGTGTTAGTTTCAGATAGACAGCAATCAGATGAGTTTCTGATGTCTTTGATACGCTCCAAAAGAGAAGCCAAATGGATGGGCCAGCTCAAAACCTTACCAAGGTGATTGAGAGAACAGAGTCAATAGAGGGGAAAAAACTGCGAAACCAAGAACCAAATACATTCATTACTTGCAAAGCACTTTCCCATCCTGAATACACATCAGATGGACACAGTGTGTGCGCTCAAGGTTGGTTCACCGGCAACAAGGTCGATTCACCAAATACACCAACTAGGAAACCATCAAACAAAAACGCGTTTCATTTCGTGTTTACAAAGTGAACAGAAGTGTGTGTTAGATGGGTTGCTGTTCAGTTTTTCTCCCCAGGTGGGAGCATCCCCCTGTGAGGGATACTGGGGCGGGGCCTGGGCGAAGGTTCCAGCACCCTCTCGCATGTGGTAGGACCAGCACTGCTTTGACCTCTCCTGTCAAAGTGAGTGACCAGTGAGCTGGCCCAGGCCCTGACCCTAATGCCCAATGCCCGGTAGACCGTCCCCACGACATGAAAGCCTCTGACCCCTTGGCCAGACCTGACCTCCTGCCGTTTGTGGAGGACACTTGCGGCCCCGTGGGGAAGATGGATGCCAGCCAGTGTTGAAGGTCTGTATCTGCTGTGAGCCTCCTAACGAGATGTCCTGCATAGAACATTTGTTCCAGGGACCACCAGGCCTGCTGGTAGACCTCTCGGACAGCTCTCCTCCAAACTGACCAGGAGGATGTCCCTGGGAGGCTAGCTCCTAAGTGACGGAGGCGTTGTGGAGCTTCCAAACAGCTTTCCTTGCAGACTATTTTGGGAATTTAAGGAGGAAGGGGGAGGCCGTAGAGCCTCTGATTTAGCCCCAGGCAGATATAGTCTCTCCCTGAAGTTGGTTTGTGCGACCAGCGACTGGGGAGTGGGGTATTTACTGTACAGAGTGTGACGTTATTCTTGGCTTCCCCTCAGAACACAGTGCTGCACTCCAGAGGATCCCAAACTCCAAAATGCACGGAAGTTGTTAGGCAGCTCATCAAACCTTCACTCCCCTCCAAGACCCGGGCCTTGGAATGAGCTTGCCTGCTTCCTCACAGAAGGCTCAAGGCTACCAGGCATCGCCTCCCCCATCCCTGCCCTTACCGTGCTCACATCCACCCTGTCTTCCCTCTCGGGTCCTCGCCGGTACTCTGAACCTTTCCTCTGCTCCCGGCTCCTGGAGCTGCCTCAGTTACTCCCGTTCTGTCCTCTGGCTTCTGCTTGGAACGTCAGTAGGGTCTAGCACCACATTGAAACAAACAAAACTAAAGCAAGAACAAAGAAACCAAAACCACAGAAAGCCTTTCCTTTGGCCCTAACGCCCTGCTAAATGCTGGCACATCTTGCTTCCTTAATTTCAAGTGATCCAAGCACTGCACAGCCTTACATCTGTCTTATGTTCCACTGGTCTGTCTTGGCAGCTACCCCTCGGGGCCCGATCGAAGCCCCTTTTCAGCCCCTAGTCTTCCCTGACCTTGGGCCCTGCCTTCCTCACCAGTCCCGGGTCTGTACTGGGTGTTCCTTTCCCCACACCTTCCTGGCTTTTCTCTGTGCTTACTTTGAAGGCCCCTCTTCTTCCTTCTGGTGCACTAAAGGAATAAGTTGCCTAAGACATGTCTTCTCAAGGTCCATGAAAGCACCTGGACCCCGTCAGATCTTTCATCTTTCGAATACCCAAAGGACAAAGAATTCCTAAGCTATTTAAACTGCTTCAGACCAGGAAAGAAATGTTCCTTAGGCTCACTCTGATACCCTATATTAACAAAGATAAAGGAGGAAAAACACAGCTCAGTTAAATCACCATTTTAATATGCCTACAGCTGTAATGGAAGTCACTAGCCACGTATATCTATTTAAATTAATTGAATGCAACTTAAAAATCAGTTCTTCTGTCTCATTAGTCGTATGTCAAGTTTTCAATAGCCATACTCATGGGTAGTGGCTGCCCACACTGGACCGACAAATATAGAACGTTTCCATCATCGCTGAAATTGTACTGGACATCACAGGCTAAGGAGACAAAACTTATGCTTATCTCAGTACTGTGGAAGAATGTTTGG